GGCCCGGGGCTTTCACTCCCCGCTCCTGCTCCCAGTATACCTCCCACCCCCTCCCCAGGTCTCCCGCCCTCTGAGGGCGCTGTAGCGAACAGGCCCCGGGGTAGGGCCGGAAGGGGCCCCCCTGCCCTGCCTGAAAAACCCTTTGGGGCAAGAACCGGTAAAGGTGCTGGGCCTGGGCCTCTCCTCCCGGCCAGCTGATGCCGGAGGCGGGCTGGGCTCACCTGGCAAACGAGAAGGCGCTTTGCTCCCTGGGTACTTCTGAAGCAGAAACGCGGTTCCTTCACGGTGTCAGTTTCACTGGACAGATACTTAGAGAAAGGACTGCCGGGAAAAGCCATCCACCCCACTGCTTTCCCCAAGAATTTCAGCTTTTCCTGCAGCTCTCCACGGGGTGCTCTGGAGCAGTGATCAGGCAGCCTCACCAGCGGCTCCGGCCCCAGCAGATGCGGACGCCATTGCTTGGCCGCATTAGCGCGGGCGGGCGGGTTGTCTCCGACTCGATGCCAGGGAGGATTAGCGGGGCCGAGACCGATGAGAACCTTCCACGCTGCCTCAGTCCCTCCTCTCTGCTGTCTAATTCACCTTAATACCCGTCTGCGGGATGTGCAGCTTGCATTTCGCTGCCTGTCCGTCCTTCCCTGGTCGCTGTCTGTCATTAAATCTGCCCTGAGAGGAGAGGGCGCGCTTCCCAGTGAGCCCGGAGAATGTCAGCTGAGTGGATTAGTGGAGGGGGATTAGCCGGCTTCCATTTTGTTCTGGAAGACCAAAGTGGATGCCAGGGGCCTGCGGACTCAGGGTGATTGGTTGGGACCGACACCCCCCTCACGCAAAATTTCATTCCAGGTGAGCACCCTGGCGCGGAGGGAGTCGGGGCTGCAGAGGGACGTGCAGGAGCTGGCGCAGAAAATGGCAGCAATGGAGGAAGACCTGAGCGGGGAGAAGAGCAGGCTCACGGAGGAGCTGAGACTCAAGTCGGAAGAAATAAAGAGCAGCGATGTAAGTGGGCCTCGACGGACTCCCAGCCCCCCGGGGCCCCTGCCGGGGCCGCCGCCTCTCAGGGTCCTCACAGTCAGACTTGGCGTAGCCTGGCCCCGGCCTGTGCCCGGAGGTGGCCCCAGCGTCCTGTCTGGAGGACAAGCGCAGTCACGGCCGGCGTGTGAAGCTGGCACGTTCTCGGGGTGCGGCTGGAGGCCCGGGCTGGCCCTCTCAGGCTCAGGCCTGAGCCTCTCTTGCTGCTGGCACGGTGCAAGATGGCAGCCCCGGGTCACAGTCCGGCAGATGCAGAAAGCCCTGGCTGAAGGCGGGGCCCGTGCGAGGCTTTTCCGCGAGGGCGCCTGGTCCTGCCTGCCGGGCCTCTGCCCGGGCGCGTCCCCCGGGGACGGCCTGTCCCGCCCGCTCACGGGGCGCAGGCAGTGCCGCGTGGCCTCGCGTCTGCCCCGCTGGGGGCTGCCCACGGCTGCGGCTCCGGCCTCGTGGGCTCAGTGTCTGCCCCGTCAGATGGGACGCGCACACACAGAAGTGCAGAAGGTGGGCGTGCTGGGGACACCCCAGTTCAGACGGGGGTGCAGAGGAAAGAGCTTTCCCAGTCTGGAGAGCAGAGGGAAGCCAGGGGCTGCAAGGCCCGTTGGTCAGAGCGGGAGGGGCCTCGGGTTTCTGCAGCCTAAAGGGGTGGAGCGGCTGGGCGACTCCCCCTGCTGCTGCGGAGCCCGAGGCACCCGGGAGGGCGGGAGGCCTGGAGGGGCCGG